TGTATCAATTAAATTATTGAAGGTTATAATCAACTGAATTGTTGCAATTATATATATAGATTTCGGCCATAAGTTTCGGCTGTGATCTTTATAAATGACTCATTGTTAACAGAGATAATAACACATTATAAAATTTAAAAAGCAATAGGGGAAATTTGGCGATTGTGTTATTTCTTATGCAAAAGTGAATTGGTAGCGAGTTCGATACTCACAGAGCACAATTATAATGCGCATATACACGTGCAAAGACGTGAGTAACAGGTCGATCGCAAAAATCCTTTCATAGATTGTGTGAGTTTAACTTCCCAAATCATTATTATTTTCAGTAACTAATAAAAATCAATGTATATTTTGGTAAAAACGTAAATATGTACATGTGCAAAGATATGGGTATTTACAAGTCTTTTGCAAAAATCATAGGTTGTGTGAGTTAAACATCCCGAATCATTATTATTTTCAGTAACTAATAAAAATCAATGTATATTTTGGTAAAAACGTAAATATGTACATGTGCAAAGATATGGGTATTTACAAGTCTTTTGCAAAAATCCTTTATAGGTTGTGTGGGTTTAACATCCCGAATCATTCTTATTTTCAGTAACTAATAAAAGTCTGTGTATAATTTGGTAGAAACATAAATATGTACATGTGCAAAGTCATGGGGTTTACAAGTCTTTGTAAAAATCTTTCATAGATTGTGTGAGTTTAACATCCCAAATCATTCTTAATAATAAAAATATAAATTTATTATAAAATTTAATTATAAAAGTTATAAAAAGAAGAAAAAAAAAATACACCAAGAACACAATAAATTTGTCTAAGTTCATAACGGAATTGTTGTTGTTGTAATTGTTGTTGTTGGTGTCGTTCTTGGTGTTGATGTAATTGTTGTTCATGTTGTTGGTGTTGACTTACCAATACTAATATTATTTTTATTTCTAGAAAACTTCCAAAGTTCTCCACCAGTTGGTCTTTTTGACATATATCAAAAAAATAAATGATGATTGTGAGCTCCATCATCAAATGGCGGATGACCTGCAAATATTTCCCATTTTAAATTAAAACTGTTACATTTTTTAAAATCATTGAAAATATAGTTAAAATAAACTTGTGAATTTAATCCAACTTTATCATATCCCCATAGTGGGTTGTTAAAAGTAAAGCAACTTATAAAGGTATTGGGAGCTGTGAAAATACACATTCGGTTAAATTGTAACTCTTCTTGGTCTGGTTTAAAATCAGTAGTTCCTGATGCTCTTTGATAATTTTCTTTTTTGGAATGTGAATTCGACAAAATGCGTTTTTGATTATAATTTCTTTTTTCAGACTATGATGCAGACAGCAAGTACAAACAAAAGTATATTGAGATATAAATGGAAATAGATAATAGATAAATAACTTTAAAAAAAGTTTTTGTTGACGTGGACATGTGACGCAACGGTCAAATTAAATAATTTTATGGTGCGCAAAGTCTATAACCATTTTGCGCACGATATTTAAAAGGATAGAAGTGATTGATACCAAAACTTTATTGTGACCAGGGCTTGAAATTGTACTTTAAATAACCGGTTTTTACGGTTCATTTTGAAACTATTATTATTGAATTTTACTAATTTAATAATCAATAAATCCATAACAATAAACCAATAATAAACATAATACGCCCAAATTTGTATATATTAATATTTAGATTAGATTTTATAAATTTTTTCTACAAGGAAAAATTAAATTTTATTTTCCTTCTTAAATAAAACGAATAATACATGGATGAAGATTGTATAGAAGTAGTAGTGACAGATCAAAAATACTCGGAAAAAAATAAAAAAACAAATATTATTAATAATTTGAATGGAATCACTCCACATAATGGATGTCTAATTGATCAAATTAAATATAGTTCAAATTTTAAATTTTTTGCAACTTATAGTAGTGAAGATAGATCAATAGT